GTTCACGATTTCCACCTAGAACATTCTCTCCTCTGAGCTGCTCTTCCCACTATGATGGCACCCTCACAGTCTCACTGATTCTAACATTCTTCATGAGCATCCAGATTTCACTGACACCATGAACTTGAGTTGGAACTATACAATTTACTCAGCCCATGGGTCCTACTTGAAGATTGACCCTTGATAATGGCTATATATTAAACCACAGATACGATCACTAGAAATGCTAGATGATTAAGAATCAAAGCAACTGCTAGCACTTCAGTATCTAGTTTCCAAGCTGGTGCTAGGGTTTTAGTCTTGGCACAAGGCAATTGAAGTTTGGATGATGCAGAGTTCTCGGCTATTGCTACTGCTGTCATGCATGATTCACTGAGGGAGTTTATGCATGGCTCACCTCCATCTTGTGCATGAAAGATCACTGGAGCCAGCCTGATTGGGATCCACCTTTTCCCTAGGATGGCTAAAGCCAATAAGGGGGACCAGAGAGGACAGGCACAAAGGGATCAAGAGAAATGGAAGTGAGAGAGGGGAGCTGTGTGTTGTGCATCCCCAGGGAGGAGGACCAAGGAGAGATCCAGGAATTGAGAGATTGGGCAACTCTCTACCTCCACCTGCTGGTCATTTCAGCCAGATTTCCCTCCACCGCTCCACTACCCAAACCTCAAATGGAGGCCACACTCAGTCCAGTGCCATGCATTGCTTCAGTCTCCCTAGTAGTCACCCATCTCACCAACCTGACCACCGCGTCCATCCACCTGCCACTGTTCCTTCTCCGCTGAGCCCTGCACACTTCTACAAGACAAGATGGCTCAAAGACCTTCAACCATGTTCCAAAGCCTGCTGTTCAACAGTCAAATTCTTACAAGAAGTCTTAAGCTCTTGAAAATTTCACCCACAAGCCTCCATGACTATGGACCAAGCTTTGGTCTCCCAAACTGTATTCACTACTCAGGCCACTCCTCTATCCAGTCCGAGAGCACAGGCAAGCAATACTTTACCTAGTAAGCGATGCTACCCTACCTCTGACGTCATTTTCTGGTACAGTGAGAAGCTTGCCTCATGAAGGCCACTCAAATGGATCAAAGCAAAAGTCTTTCCTAGGAGGAGTAGAGTTCAAGCTCATAAGAACTCAAGACAGAGACCCTGACTCAGGAAGAAAGAACACCTTCTTTTCACAAACTAGCCCATGGGCATTCTGGAAAGGGATTTGGAGTGACAGGAGATGGCCAGCACTGAGGGGCAGCACAAGCCCACCCTTCAGCTCCATGCTGAAGATGAAGTCTAATAAACCTTGTCTACAAAACCCAGACACACCAAGCACTATGCTAGTTCTTGGAAAAACCAAGAGCCTGGATTTGTAGTGCTTGCCCATTCAAGTGGTGTAAATAACTCCACTGTGACTGATTTCCACTACCAACATGACATACCTGAGTACAAAGCCAGGGAAAAATGACCATCACCAGCACTAGAGAGCTCCAGACACCACTGGCTAGGATAAAGCAGGGAGGCTGATGGATGAAGGCTGTTGGTCCAACACGCAGGATGCCATTTGGCTTCCATAGCAATCATCATCATCATCACCATCGTGGAGGAAAGGGATCAAGATGTGATGATAAAAAGAAAATCCATGTCTGGAACGGGGCACTTGTAATCCTAGCTACTCAGGAAGCTGAGATTTGAGGGTCGCAGTTTGAAGCCAGCCAGGGCAGGAAAAGCCATGAGATACTTGTCTCCAATTAACCACCAAAAAAGCCAGAAGTGGAGTTGTGATTTGTGGTAGAGCACAAGTCTTGAGCAAAAAAAGCTCAGAGTGTGTCCCCAGGTCCTGAGTTCAAGCCCTAGGATAGGCACACTTATACACAAAGGTGTGTCACCTTGTGCTCTTCTAATGGACCTATGACAGGAACCACATTGTATGTCTCCATGCCCTGCAGCTCCAGCTTGAGGCAGGGCTGGCTGAGCTCCTGGAGCTGGGAGAAGGTGCAGATGTGGCTCTGAACCCTAAGCACAGGCCAGTGTTCCCATCCTAGCTGGCAGGAAACAATCACAAGCCACAAGTGAATTTTAAGTTGCTTGGGGCTAGCTACTGGCAAAAGGACAAGGCAGGAAGTTGATGTTCAATACCCTCTGCCTGGCCCCGGGGGCCCATGCTAAATCGACATCTGGCTTTGACTCTTGATTTAGAGCAGAGAATCAAGAGTTCTGACTCCCAGCTCTCAGGGGAGGTAGATGTGGGGCGACAGGCATGGACACATGTCCCCGGAATCACGGGGAGGAGTCACCCACACCCAGGGAAAGGCTGCCCCTCCCAAGACAGTGAGCAAAGCAGACAGGAGGCGCTCCAGCATGTCCTGGTGTGACCACACAGGCACCTGTGCGGACCAGGCAATGGGCAGCTTCCGCTGTAGCCAGCGGTGGAACCCAGACAGCAGGGCCCCAGTGGTCTTCCATGCACAATTCAGACACAAACCCCATCCATGCAGGTCTCTTCTGTGTACTACCGTCACCACACAGCCCACACATTTCCAAGATCAATGCTTTATTTTTTCTCCAGCTCCAGTGACAAGTCTAGCAGCCCAGTGGATGCATCCCCACACACGCACACTCTGCAAGAGGAGGTACAATCTTGACTGCAGGCTTTTAAGACATGCGAGGGAATCATATTGGCTTGGCCTAGACACACAGCAGTCCATTTGGACTTCACAGGTACAATCAAACTTAAATAAGGTTGAATAAAACTGACATCGTCTGGTGGAGATCCAGTCTTAGAGGGCCGTAGAGGGATGGGACCTGGAATATCAGCATTAAACAAACCACACATAGAAGACCAATAAATAGTTCAATTCAAAGAGGAAAAAAAAAAAAAAAAACAGCCATGAATTGAGAATTTATCCCATTAGAAAAAAAATGAATGTTTCATTGTAAAATCAAACTCTGTTCTGTAAGTGGCTGAACCTCAAATCATGGACTGAGCAGTAGAGCTAATTGCATGTCTCACACACACACATATGCACACGCACGCACGCACATACACACACAAATACTATAATCAGGTGACATCACCTGACAAAACAATGACCAATGTATGTCATAACTATATGAAGCTGGTCCCTGGGCGGGGGTAGAATTTTCCTATGAGTGCTGCAATGTCAAAGTCATAACACACAGGCCAAAGCCTGCATGAACAGCAATACATGAACAGCAAGGGGAGAAAGGGAAGAATTCCCACAAAAAATCAACACTCTCGGTGCTTCCGAACTTGAAAGTTTTTTTCGGATACTTATTTCCTCACCCTCAGGATGGCCAGGTGAATCACAGCTAGGGCACAGGCAGGACAGGGGGCCACCCCTAACTGACAAGCTCATCAGCACGGTGAGGGAAAACCAGGTCTGGATCCCCCTGACTCGGAACCTACAGCGCTGTGAAGTTGGGGTCCTGTGTCTCCATCTTGTATCACCCTGACAGAAGGAGAACAAAGCCTCCAGGAAGTGATATTTTGTAGCCGGGGAGCATATCAAGTGGACATAAAAGGAGTTGGAGGGAAACATTATTGAGACTCTGAATTCTACTTTAGACTCTAGGATTTCTCTTCCATTTTCAGAACTTAGTGCTATTTACTGCTAGCGCAAGGCCAGGTCAGAGAGCAGACATTTTCAGAGATGGGATGGTATATAGACAGCTTGCAAAGAAGCCTCCATCAACTGGATTCCATGGAGATGCAAAGCGGATGGGTCAGCAGCAAGGCCCTGGGGCCACACACGGGAGGCACCTGGTGCGGGACAGCTCTCCCCACCGTTGATTTGAACAAGACAGTTGGGCTTTTTGTTGTGTAACTTCTTAAAAGCTCTTAGGACAAAAAAAACCTATACTTGTTGGAGATTGTATGCCATGACCTCGAGGTAAAAATTCTCTGGGTGCAAGGCAGGTGCTTATCTAGGTGGAACCGGACCTGCCAGAATGAAAGCACCCGATTCCTGCTCACTGGTACCAGGCTTTGGTGAAAAGCACTCAAAAAAAAATTTTTTTTTGAACCACTAGAACAGTGGATGGCATGCTGCTTTAAAGTTCACCAAAGCGGCCAAGCTAGAGGACACACGCTCGCTCCCCTGGAGACAGTGCCATTGCATTTCAGAACCCCAAGCAGCAAGCCCTGTGTTGCCAGGTAACATGAAGCAGACAAGATGGGAAGCATCTCTACAGGATCTCCTCTGGCCCAGACATGAGGTCCACCCCTGACAGGACGGAGGCACGTTAACGGTTGGCACAGAGAAAAGGACAGACCTGTGCTGTGTTCCTAAAAATTCCTAGGCAGCATGGGAAATACACACACACACAGCCAGGTACAGGTGGCTCACACCTATAATTCTGGTTATTCAGGAGGCTGAGATCTGAGGATTGAGACTGGAAGCCAGCCTCGGCAGAAAAAAAATTGTGAGCCTCATATCAAATTAATCAGCAGAAAGCTAGAAGTGGAGATGTGGCTCAAGAGCTAGAGTGCCAGGTTTGACTGAACAAGACAAGTAAAAAAAAGCCCTGAGCATGCGCTGTCTGTCTGTCTGTGTCTGTCTGTCTGTCTGTCTGTCTCTCTCTCTCTCTCTCTCTCACACACACACACACACACACACACACACGTTACCTGAGGAAAAAAGGTTGACACAGAAATAAGTCCTACAATAACAGGATTTATCCTGGTGATCTCAGCAAATAGCCAAACGTTGGCATATCCGAGGCTGCCAAGTGCTGACCAGGGAGAAACTCATGTCACAACAGGGGGAGGGTGGGGGTGGGGGCAGGGAGTATCACAGCAGGCTTGGGACCCGCCACCCCAGGGGTCACCTTACAGTGAGCCCAACCTCATCACCCAGCACCGGCATGTGTGTAGACACAGCAGAAGAAAATGTGCCAGGACCCCATCTTTGGTCCCGAATCTTTTTGGAAAGACAAAGGGAAAAGGCACATGAAGGTGATTGAATTTGTAAAAACTGCAATAATAGGTCATTATGATTCTTTCTCAACGTACCTTTTTCCCCCATTAAAAGAGAAATTCAAAAGATATGCTCAGTATTTATTTCACATTCAAGTCAAACTTCCACCTTGGGGAGGGAGGGGCTTGCACAGGATTGGAGGCCACACTCAGCCCTTGAGAACTTTGGTGCCTTTTTACTTAACCTGATAGGAGGATTCAGCCCTCTTATTATTTCTTTAAAAAACACAGCTCGATTTTATCCTAGCTGCAATACTATTTATGGACAAGCACAAGTGCACACACACACACTCACACACACAAATTGAAAAACTTCTCTAAGTAGAAAAAATAAAGGATAAACATTATCCACCTATTTTAGACTGTGTAATGAAACTTTTATATACATAGACTCTCTTCCTTTAATACGCTCAGCCACTGTCTGTCTTCTTCCCTGAGCTGTGATCTAAGGACCCAGGAAGGAGACTGACACATTCCTCTCGGAGGACAAAAAAGCCACTCCTTACTCCTCGGTCCCCTTCCCCTGTCCTTCCTGTCCACCGCCACTCACACGTCCCTGAGGACAGCTTTTGGGGGCAGCGACCATCCTGTCCTCCCCTCTCTCTAAGGCACCAGGAGCGGAGGGTCTGGCGCAGGTGCCCTGCAGGACGGGCCTGGGTGTGAGGACAAGGGGACCGGGCAGCCACAGGAAGCCCGTTGCAAACAAAAGATGCTCAATCAACTTCCCACAGCCTGCTGCTTTAGTACGGAGTTCGACTCTCCAGCTGGCGCTTGGTGAGGACGTACTTGAAGAACTCATAGACCGACCAGGAGATGGCAGTGGAGGGCATCTGATAGATGACTCGTGCCTGGATGCCTTTGAAGTATCCAGGTAGGCCGTTGAGCTGGTACACGGTCCGGAAGGCATTGGCCATGCCTGAGAGCCGGCCCCCGACCTTGGCCAAGGTCAGTGCCATGTTCTCCTGAGTGTTGAGCAGGGTCTTACAGACGTCCAGCGGAGTGGTGGCGGCCGCGGCCAGGGCCCCAGCTAGCCCGCCCGAGATGATGTGAGACTGTGGGTTGTAGTCCCGGCGAGGGTTGACCTGCTCCTGCAGGAACTCGTAGGTGATGAAGTGGATGGACTGGAAGGGAATGTTCATGGTCAGCTGCGTGGTGTAACTCCGGTAGAAGGCCCCCAACCCCTCGGTCCTCCACACCGTCCGGATGCAGCTGAGGGCTGACCGGTGCTTCGAGTTGAACATCTGTAAGCGCTGCTTCACCACTGTGTTCGGGACCGCGGGGCAGACAGGCCAGGCCAGGCCAGACGGGCAGCCAGCGAGCGGGCAGGTGGTTGGTTTGACCCCACCCCAGGTCGGAGTGAAATGAGAAGCCAAGCCAATAAAGAGAAACAAGCAAGTTAGACACACTGGTAAAGGACATCCGGAGCGAGCACACACAGCCCCAGCCTGGGAGGCCTCCGAGGGCCAGCACCAGGCAGTCCCGATTCAATGATCCATTTCTACCTGTGGGACTCGGCACCAGGAAGGTAACGATGTCCACAGGGGCTCCTGTCAGTCTCCAGTTAAGGTGGCCCCTCAGCCAGGCAGCCACCGCAGGCTACATCGGCTGACCTCATTCATCTCCCAGATCCTGACTGCCAATGGGCCTTGGAACAGACATCTGAACCCTGCCCTCTCTCCCTCTGCCCAACTCATCCTGCATCAGTCTATCAGAAGATTGTATCCTTTGCTTACTCTCAGGGGTCTGCATCTCTGACCGTCATATTTCAGCTTCCACATCATGGTTTAAGTGAGACAATACTAGAAGTACGCTTGCCCACGTTCGGAGACAATCCTCATTATTACAAAGCAGTGACTCACAGAACAAGAGGGGACGAGGCTGGGTTTCTCACCCAGACTGCGGGGCTTTAACGATGTCCAAGTGAACTCACGTGTTACACTTCGGTCTTATCGAAGACCTTACATCAACAAGAATAATGGGGGAAGGAGGGGTGAGCCTCCCCTAAATCCTTTAAAAAAGATCAACGAAATCCTTGTTTCATTGACACAAGCTAACAAACTGATCACTGACCAGATCACTGCATGAATCACCTTAAAAAAAAGTATAGAGAAGAAAGCTCACACCCGAAGAGCCAATCAACTGTGCGTCAAAAATATTCAGGGGGAAAAAATGTGTTTGTACTGAATAAAGTTGGGATTTTTTTCCTTGGCCCTATTCCCTAAACAGCAGTGTGACAACTACGTACACTGCATTATGTCTTGTAAGTAAGCCGGAGAGAATGTGCCAGACAGATGTGACTATTATACCACTCTATGTAAGGAGCTCTAATATCCATACATTCTTGTATCCGTGAGGACCCTGAGCCTCCATGACTACTGGTACTGGGGCTCAAACTCAGGGCCTCACACTGTTACACTTGGCTTTTTAACAAAACGCTAGCTTCTGCCTACTTGAACTACACCTCCACTTCTGGCTTTTTGGTGGTTAACTGGAGATAAGAGTCTCACAGACTTTTCTGCCTTGACTGGCTTCAAACCATGATCCTTAGAACTCAGACTCCGGGGCAGCTAGGATTACAAGCGTGAGTTACTAGCATCCAACTGGGAATTATATGATTTCCTCTGAACTGTTCCCTGCCTACCTCAGACCACCACTTTCCTGGCCTCAAACACTTGGTCTTGAATACACTTATGACAGGAAAAACCACATGGACAGGTAAGTTGACTTAAGTACATGACATCACAAGAGAAAACAGAGCACAGGCCATCTTTCTGAACTCTCTGCTTTCCATACAAACGTAAGAAAGGTATGTTTCATTCCAGCAGGTCCCACTACGCAATGAGAAAATCCACCTAAAAGGCTTAAGAGCTTCCCTCACCACCCGACTTCCAGGGTGACCCGGCATGGCCTCAAGGGCCAGAACAAGTTCCCTCCCTCCCTGCTACGCAGTGGGAGGCAGCTACGAGAACAAGCAAGAAATTTCAACCAAAGCAAAACAAAACCCAAACAAACATAGCCTGAGACTTGTCTCTCCAGTTTTCCCTCCCGTCAATGCACCATTTCCAAGTGAGGGGAACAAAGTGGAGCACATTGCATGTCACCTATGGCTGCCACCAAGGAGAGCCACCCGCTGAAGGCAGGCCCAAAACCAGGCCCAAATCTTCCTATGCAGACCTGAGATGCCGGAGCTTACCAGAATAAACCAAGAGCTAGCTAACAGCCAAGTTTTGCAGAGCTACAGAGCTGAGTTTTGTTTTGTTTTTTAAAAGAACTCTCCAATACCAAAATGGGAAAAAAAAGAAAAAGAAAAAGAAAAAAGATAAGAGCCACCCAAACTGGCTGCATGTACATTTGCAGTGTGCCAGGGCTCAGAATTCCATTCTGTCTACATTTATCTGCTTCAGATCTTCCATGATCATGTCCAATTGTATACGAGCCCTAAAGAAGGGCCTCTGACAGGTTCCCTACATTTGAGGGCAACCAAATGTTAGTGTTGATAAAGGCAACATGGGCCAGCCATGAATGCGCAGGTTTTTAGATCACCACGATCTAAAAAGATCACTAGAGAGCTGTCCGAATGAATGCCCCAGTTCTGCTACCCTGGTCCGGGAGGATCGGTGATCCCAACACCTCCCAGAAGGCTACAGGGCAGAAGACGTCATCTTTTAGTAGTTAGGTTTACCTCTGTTTCCCCAGCAAGACCATAAAACCTCCAAAGCTCCTGTCTCTCCTGAGACAATATTCCAGTCCTCCAGTTGGCTGTGGATGGCCCTGGCACTTGCCCACCCGCTACCAACCCTCCCCTCTCCCTTTCCTCCTGCCCCTCTGCACAACCCCTCCGGTTCTTCCCTGGAACCGGAAGACATTACCTTCTGCAGGATTCATTACCGCATCGTGGAGCAGGGTGGCCATACTCCCAGCTATCCCTGCAAAACAAACTCCAGAAAATTACCCTCCGCAACCGGCGCTCTGGGAAGTTCCTGGAACCTAACGTTGGACCAACTCTGGACTCAGCTTTCTAAGGACCCACACTGACTCGCAGCTCTGCCCAGGTGAGCACTGATGCTTCAGATCCTAACGTGGTAGTAGAGATGGAGAAGGCCGACAGAAACATGGCTCCTCAACCCCAGGCAAAAGCTAAATGTGCTAAGGTTGTGCGGCACCCAGAAACTACAACATGGCATTTGCCCACTGTCTAGATTGTCATTCTCTCCTGTCTCCTGCCTTTGAACATCACTGTGCCTTTAAGGGTCAGGTGGTTAAAGGGAATAATAGCATGTATATGGCTGGCAAGAAGGGAATCTTCAAGAAAATTCCTTAAAATCTAATCACTGTGAAGAAAATGGGTAGAAGACGAGGATGTCAGGAAGTGGGAATCAGATAGGTTTTTTCGGGGTAAATCTGTAAAGCGACGGGCCTCATGGATAACACAGACGCTGTTTGGTGATCTCCTCTGGCCTGGCTTCAAGAGCCAGGAACTTCAGAACACTGAATGAGTCCTGGGACTGTGCATTTCCTCCCTTTGTGGTGCTACTGCTTGGTAGTTCAAATTACCACGGAAGGAGGGAGAATGAGGGACAGGGTAACTCTTCAAAGAGGTTACAAAAAAGAAATCAACCTCTCTCTCCTGCACGTTAACTTTTTTTAAAAAAGCCACAATGGAATCACAGTTCAGCACAAAGCTATAGGGCAGCACTGTGCAGACCTCGGCAGAAACTGCATTCTGTTAAAACTCCTTCAAGAATCCAAACTAGTACCTAAGGGCGTTTGGGCAAGAGGAGAGCCCAATGTCACAGGCACAGGTGACATCAAAGCCTGGCTCTTCATAACCATCTCAATGAATGGAACCAATGCCCAACAGTTTAAAAGCCAAAGAAATGTCTGTAAACCAGCCAGGTGCACTTATTTCCAAGGCCTGATGATGGGAGGGGGTTCTGGGCAGAGCAAAACAAAAAAGGGAGTTCCTGCTGGACGCTTCTCCCTTGCTTGAGTGCTGGAAAACAAATTTTGGCAAAAAAAAAAAAAAAAAGTATGCTTTACATTACTATCCATATTCCCTTGTACACAAAAAACAAAAATCCATGGACATCAACCCCATAGACAGGAGAAAAAGACCACCCAGCCTAGCCCAGTACTACATGGGTTAAGAATGGACTGCCAACGTGCAACCCCCCACCCCCCAACCCGGCCCTCCCTGAATCCACCACACAGAACTACTGCAGCCCTCGCAGAGAGATGCGGCTCAGACACACGGAGGAGGATGGGGAGCAAACCCCCGAGTCTCCAGAAGCTCAAGGCGGGAAAGGCCTTCGGCAGTGGCCAAGTCCTTCATCAATCAGCCATAAAACGTCTTGACCTTTTAAAGCTTAGATCTCGGCGCGCTGGAGACCTGCTGTACCAGTTTTTAAATAGTCTCAAAGAAGCTGTCCAGATAACTTTGTGTATGTGTGTGTGTGTTTGCTTTTTTTTTTTTTTTTTTTTTAAATCCAGCATTCAAAAGTTGTGTTTCTATTCCGGGGGAGTGGGTTTTGTTTCCCTCTAGGTCTGATCATTAATCGCTTTTGAATGTTTCAATTCAGAAAACAAAACAATAGCCCACACAATGAAACAAACGAACAAAAAAAAACCCTGAAACACCTCTGCCACCAATTCCCCCAGGCTTCAGAGAAGGAAGGAAACAGAAAAAGCTTGTGTGCGCGTGCGCGTGTGCACATGTCGGACTGGGTGTGCACACAGCGACCTAGAGTTCTCTGTTCCTGAGCAAGATGCCGAAGCCGATGACTGCTGGGTCACGGGGAGAAGGCCCCGGGATAGGCTGTGCTGAAGAAGAGAACTGTCTAACTGCAGACAAAGGCTTTCAAAATACCATTGGCTAGATGGCTGTTTCCTTGGTGGTTGAAAACGTCATTTAAAGTCCTTTTCATGTTCTCATAACAGGCAAAATACATGGCGTGGGCCGGCCCCGCACCCATCATCATCACATTCAGGCCCCGCAAGGGCCTCCAGAAGCCTTCAGTCTTCATGATTTTCTTCAGGGCTCCATAGATGCTTGTGTACTGGGCTTTGGGATCTGGGTTTAAACTCTGCATTCGTGTCTGTAGGAGGGCAAGAAGAAGAAACAGAAAAATACAGGTTAACAAAAATGGTTTGGAGGGGGGGGGCGGTAAAAAAAAAAAAAGGACTCAGAAAAATTTGAGAAAAGGAGAAGGTACTCAGTTTTACAGGATTTCTTTGTGGGGGGGGGGGGGAATATTTACTCTCTCCCTTCTAAAGTCCATCTCTATAGCTGGGCGTCCATGTTGCTCATGCGTAAAATCCCAGCTACTTAGGAGACAGAGATCAGGACTATGGTCCTAGGACAGCCCAGGATACAACCAACAGCTGGGTACGGTGGTACACACCTGTCATCCCAGGTAAGTGGAAGGCTGAGATGGATGAACTGTGGTTCTGGGCCAGCCTAGACAGAAGAATGCATAAAGCTCCATTGCAATGGAAAAGCCTGGCCCTATGGAATGCACCTGCTATCCCAGCAACAAAAAGCTTCAAATAGGCAGATCGTGGTACGGCATGTGTCCAGACCAGAAGTGAGATATTATCTCAAAAATTAGTGCTAAAAGAAGGTTATAGGCATGGCTCAGTGGCAGAGCATCTGGCCTAGCAAGCATGAGGCCCCGAGTTCAAACTGCAGTACCACCAAATAAGTAACATTCTCCATGCACCTCTCCCACAGCCACATTCCCACAGATTTCATTATGCCCAGGAAAGGGGAGGTTAAAGCCCAGGAGGAACAGGAGAAGGCACATCCCACAGAGACCTGCCTTCCGTGAGCTGTGTGGTTTCTGATGAATCCTTTAACCCCAGTAGACCTTGAGACTGTCAATTAAAACACGTGTTTGTGGCAAGCAGCAATTAATGCACATGGAAACCCTTTATAAATTCAGAGTCCTGGATAAACAAAAGTACAGCTGTTTCTCAGTGTCTCTGGGGTCACTGGTTCCAGATTCCCAGGAATGCCAAAACCTGCAAATACTCAAGAGTACCTTATCGGAAATGGCGTTGGTAGTTCAAGCCTGTGATCCTTATTACCCTGGAGGCTGAGATCTGAGGATGTGGTATGAAGCCAGCCCCTGAAAAGTCTGAGAGACCTTACCTCCAATTAACCACCTAGAAACTGTAAGTGGAGCTGTGGCTCAAAGTGGTGGAGTGCTAGCCTTGAGCAAAAGCACTCAAGGACAGTGGCCAGGCCACGAGATCATGCCCCAATGACAGACTAAATAAATAAAATGGCGTACAACCTATATAATTTTCCAGAATATTGTAAATCAACTCTTGATCATTTATCATATCTAATATGATACAAATGCTATATAAAAATATTAGACTATCATCCATCTATCCTCCTACAACTAGTTCCACTCTGGCTTAGAGTTTTCTGTGCTTGAAAGCTCTTGCTCAGGCCCTACTAGAAGGACCCCCAAACCCCCTACGCCTCACCCCCATAAAAGGTCTTGTTCTCAGTTCTTTCTGCTGGGCTGGCACAGAGCTGGCTTTCCCTGGCCCTTTCCCATCATGCCACCAGGCCGGAAAGGCGTGAAGGAGAGGTGAGTGTTACTTCCACATTTCCACCTGGCTAAGCCACAGTGCCCATGTGCATAATTCAGAAGAGAGAAAAAGGTTGGGAAGGGAGGATATGAGAGACTGGTACTTTGGTGTGATCTCTCTCTATAACACAGACACACCTTTGGTGTGAAGAGATCACACACACACACACACACACACACACACACACACACACACACACACACACACACACACACACACACACACACACACACACACACACACACACACACACACACACACACACACACACACACACACACACACACACACACACACACACACACACACACACACACACCCTTCCTTACTGGCTATTGCTCAGAGAAATAAGCCCAGCCTGAGCTCGACCCCTCCTCAGCCCCTAAAGGAGAGGCTCTCCATCTTGTGATGGGCGTATCCTTTAATCCCCAAACACCACCACACAAATTCTACTATATAAAATGTATCTAATATTTAAGATATATCTAATATGTAACGTATACAATGTATATATGTATAATATATATGTATATGTATATATACATATACATGTATGTATATGTATATATACATATATTATTAAAAATGGGGTAAAGGGCCCTTGCCTCCTCCATAACGCTCCCTACAACTCCCCCAAAACAAGATTCCCCCCAACCCCCAGGATCTAGGGGCTGGAGAATTATGCAAAAATCTATGACCTAAACGACTAGTCATTTCCCAATTTTGGCTCTCACCAGATATTAAAATCGCAAAGAGCATGGACACACTCATACCAACCTTTCATTTCACCAAGAAAGGACACAAAAACAGTTAACATAAGCAACCATCCCCACCACGCTCTATCATCAACTCCTCAAAAAAAAAAAAAAAAAAAGGTTGTCTGCCATTATAAAAGTCCTCAATTAGAAACTCTACTTTTGGGGCTGGGAAGGTGGCTCAGTGGTAGAGCGCTTGCCTTGCATGCCTGAGGCCCTAGGTTCGATTTCCCAGCACCACATAAGCAAAAAGAAAAAAGCCGGAAGTGGCACTATGGCTCAAGTGGTAGAGCGCTAGCCTTGAGCTGAGGGACAGCACCCAGGCCCAGAGTTCAGGCCCCACAACCGGACCCCTAAAAAAAAAAAAAAACCTCTACTTTTCCTTTGCCCACCACTGTCCCAGCCCGAGGGAGCAGCTGGCCACACAGGCTGGATCCTCGAGGCCCTGCTTGCGCATAGGGCCAATGTCCCTGTACCTTTGTATTTTATAAATAGATTCCTATTCTAACCCTTTCAAACAGATTTGAGGTGGTTTAATGGAAGGATCCATTATAAGAAAACGTGCAAGCGTGGCCACTGAGTGGGTGGGAATTGTGGCAGGGACTGAGGTGTATGGCCTGGGTCCCCTCAGGACCACAGAAGCTGCCAAGTGCTAGATTCTAAAAACCTGAAAATCGCCCTGAAATTTACACCAAATAGCATCTCGTATTTCACCAGCTGTGACTTGCAACTACCCCAAATAAGAAATAAGAGCCTTATGCATTACATGTCACCACAGGGTGATCAAAAACTGGGCTGGGGGCTGGAAGCTCATGCCTGTAATCCTGAGGGTCAAGGTTCAAAGCCATCCTGGGCAGAAAAGTCTCCTTGAGACTCTTATCTCCAATTAACTACTCAAAAACTAGAAGTGGAACTGTGGCTCAAAAGAGCACACCTTGAGCACAAGAGCTCAGGGACAGCTTCCAGGCTGCAGGTTCAAGCCCCATGATGGAACAAAAACAAAAAACAAAAACCCTCAGCTTTGTGTTGGGAGTGCAGCTCAAAGATCACACTCTCTCCTACCAAAAAAAAAATCTGTGATTCTACCTATAAAATGTGGAAACAAGGGCAGATGTTTTATGTATCTACTTGAGGGGGAGGATGGGGGGGATGGAAGCAACAAGGACCCATCCCATCAAAGTTAGAGGTTAAACAAAGCACTCTATCCATTCAGCAGAATACTACCCAGCCTTGACAAGGAAGGAAGTTCTGACACGTGCCACAACAAGGTGGAGCTCTTCTTTTCTTTCCTTTTCTTTTTGCCAGTCCTGGGGCTTGAACTCAGGGCCTGGGTACTGTCCTTGAGCTTCATTTGCTGAAGGCTAGTGCTCTACTGCTTGCGCCACAGCACCACTTTTTCTATTTATATGTTTCTGTTTATACGGTATTAAGGAATCGAACCCAAGGCTTCCTACATGCTAGATAAGCACTCTAATGCTAAGCCGCATTCTCAGTCCCAGGGTGGAACTCTTGAAGACTGTGCTGGATGAAACAAGGCAGTTATAGACAAAATCTGCACAACTCCACAGAGAAGGCCCTTGACTCAGAAAGGAGGCAAAGTGGGGCAGTGTGGAGGGGATGAGATTGCGTGCGTAATGCGTGCAGGCTAAGGATCGGTAAGAGGAAGGGTCTGGGCTAGGTAGGTGATGGTGATGACCTCACCACAGTGTGAATGTAACTGATGCCAAAGGCAGCGATGAGTATGCTTAAAAACAGTTACACCCGGGCGCCGGTGGCTCACACCTGTAATCCTAGCTACTCAGGAAGCTGAGATCTGAGGATCGAGGTTCAAAGCCAGCAAGGTCAGGAAAGTCTGTGAGACTCTTCTCTCCAGTGAACCACCAGAAAACCAGAAGTGGCGCTGTGGCTCAGGTGGTAGAGCACTAGCCTTGAGATGAAGAGCTGAGGGACAGCGCCAAGGCCCAGAGTTCAAGCCCTATGACTGACAAAAAGAAAAAACGTTACAGCAATGACTTTTGTTATGTATATTTTATTACAAGTGCAAAAAAACTAGAATGGAGAGGAGGGAAAGGAAATGAATCAGGATTCACAAAAATGAAACCACCATCATTACACACACACACACACACACACTTCACCAATCACTCTTCCTGTCTGGGTTTCAGTTTCTGCCCAAGCCACTAGCTGCACAGCCCTTCCTTTCCTTACTACCTGCTTCTATGTTTGCACCATAATCCTCACCTCTGGGAAACTTGTAAGGCACTGAGCATGCTGAAGGATCTGGAAAGGCCTTCAGGAATGAAACCTGCTTAACGAGGTTTCACAGGCTACTTCCTGAACATGCATCTTTGGCAACACAGACCTCTGTTCGTTTAATAACCAGTTCTACTTTGCTGAACATTCTTGTGAAAACACAGCCAGAGCCAACGGCTCCTGAGAGGCACAAAGGGCAAAGAGGGCTCACAGCTCAGACGGCCAGCCGGTCCGCGGGAGCAGCCTGGAGACAGAGGCTGGCACCTGGCAGAGGCAAAGGAGCAGGCCTGCCTCCTTCCTCGCCTGCCTCCCTCCACACTTACTTGCCCAACCTCACGCAAAGCAGCGAAGGAGGAAAACACTCCAGACATCAGGAGGCCTTGCAAATCCCCTGAAGCCCCAGAGCCATGACTCTGCAGAAAGGCTCAAAAGAAATGACACACGCCCACACTGAGCAGCAAGGCTAGAAGGGGAGGAGCTCTCCC